CTGTATGTCTTCAGGGGCCGTGTGACCACTGTGCAGAGGGCCAGCTGTCGGTGCTGCACAGTCTGCACAGTGGGTGAGTGTCAGCTCCGTCCTGGCAGCTCTTGACCCTCCCACTCCATCAACCCAGTGAGTCACCAAGGACACAGCCTGACCTAGACCAGCTGGGTCTTCCGGGGCGTCCTGAGTGGTATTCTCTCATAATGGATACTTCGGGGGTGTCTGCCCAGCCTATAACCCTCCTCTTCCTCTTGAAATAGTCATCCTCTTGTGCAGAGGGTGGACCCTAGGATGTCACATACTGTGTGACCCAGACCAGTGGGTAGGAAATGGAACCCAAGTCCTTCTACCAAGATTAAAAATCTGGGAGCAAAGAGTCAAGCCCCTAGGACGGGGGTTACCAGGTGGCTACATTCATCCATGATGCGGGCTGAAGAGGGGAGACTCAGCGCTGACTCGCTGGACAGAGAGAGAAACCAACGCAGAGGGGGCAGGAGTGAGAACAGGGCCAGAGGGAGACACGGGTTCCAGTCTCCTGGGGGAGCAACCACTTCTTGCTTTTTATTTTTTTTTAAAAAAAAACCCTTTGTTTACTTTCATGTGGTGATGAGGACAGAAGCCAGGGCTTCGAATGTGCTAGGCGGGAGCTCTACCACTGTGCCACGACCCCCGCCCCCACTTCTTGCTCTTGATTCCTTGAGACACTGACCTTGGAATAAGTTTCCCTTTTGCTTTTCTTTTTTTTTCTTTTAATATATATTTTTTAGTTGTAAATGCAGCTTTTATTTATTTTTATGTGGTGCTGAGGATTGAACCCAGGACCTCACGTGCCAGGCAAGTGCTCTACCACCAGCCACAACTCCAGCCCCATTTTTGCTTTTCTTTTCCTTTTTTTTTTTTTTGTGCTGGGGATTGAACCCAGGGCCAGAAAATGAGAAATGAAAAAAGAATCGGGACTGAAGCCTATTAGCCTTTCCATCAACCCTACCCCAGGGCCTCTCCCTCCTGGTCTGAACTACCCAACATTTGAAAGACTCCTCTGGGCCACACCACAAAGGAAGAGGCACCTTCTACAGGGGGATATTCAAAGTGCAGGGGTGCCAAGGAGGCAGGAACCCTGGAGGCAGGAACCCTGGAGGCAGGAACCCTGGAGGCAGGAACCCTGGAGTGAGGAGGCCAGGCCAGCCTTTGATGGCGCCCTGAAGGGATTTAGGCCTCTGTTCAGTTTCAAAGTCAGGACCCAGAGTGTCCCTCCAGGAAGACCAGACAAATGCAGAGGTGAGTCTTCTCAGCTGAGAAAGGCAGGTGGGGAGCCCTGGAGGGCTGGCTGGCCTGCAGGGAGGCCTTGGGAGGAAAGGTTAGCTCAAGTCATCTGCTTGCCTCACCTGTTGTCTGGAACCAGCCCTTCATTTCTCCAAGAATAAGGATGCCTTTGTCTTCTGCCTCTGGTAACAATTACTGGACATTTCATGGGTCCAAGGTCCATGCCTTATTTGGTCTGTGCTCCTGGTAACTACACAGCACTTTGCACAGAACAGACATTCGGTAAACGCTTGCTGAGTCAGAGTTTGCCGCAGTCTTGGCTGGGCACAAGATCAGGAGCCACTCACACCTTGTAGATTCAAGCAGCAATTCTTTATTCCCGAACTCACACCGGCCCTGTACAAACGCGTCCTGGGGAAATCCAAGTTCTGGGCCAAATACACGTACTCCCCCAGGCTTTTAATCCCAAATACCTTCTGAATTCCACGAGAACTCAACGGGAACTCAGGCAGCAGGATATGCCCTATTTCTAGCAGGAATAACCTTAAACCTAGAACTGCCCTAAACCCAGATTGTCCTAAAATGGGAACGCCCTAAACCCAAGGAGTGGGATACTTCCTAAAACCTGCAGGGTACACCCTAAACCTGGATCCACCCTGGTCCTTGAGCAGGGTCACCTTTCTCAAACACACATGCAATGTCACAGCGAATGTCCAAGGCAAGTCCATTTCCACGAGTCCTTCCTCTAAGCAATATGGGGTACGCTGGCAAGGAAATTTCGATGCGTCATTCCTACTTGGCAATGGCCCTCAGTAAGAGTTCTCTCGTGTCCTGTGTACATATTTCATATTCTATTATGCTTTTGTTTAAATCCACTTCCTTTTGAATTCAGAAGCCCTTCATAAGCCCTGATGTGGCATGATGTGGCACTATGACAGCATGATGTGAGGGCTGCCAGGGTGACTTCTGCCACCTCAGAGTTTGTAACAGAATAAACAAGATGGCATTGAGAGATGGCATTTCCCTAAACACACAAGCACCTCAAAATGTGACAGAATCAACACCTGTTTGGCTTCAGTATCAACATTATTGCAGGAAGCAGAGCTGGAGTCCAGCGATGTCCAGGGCACCCCCCAAGTTCCTGGCTCTCTTAGCACAGCTCCTAATTACAATTTGATCCTTATTTGTGTGACTATCTGTCATTCCCCTTTATATCTCAGGCTCCATGGGGAAGGTTGGGTTTGGCTGAGCTCATCGATTAGGCCCCAGTAGCTTGTGCAGTGCTCAATAAATATCTGCTGAATCAAACAATGAATGCATAACTGTTGGACTGGGTGGGGGAGTTGAGGAACCGGAAACCAGGCAAGCAAACTCCTAGCTGTGCTTGCTGAACTGGGACCCATTGCAAACCTGACCTTGAATCTCCTGAGGGGAAGAAGGGAGGGAACTTGTGTCTGTTGGGCTGCATCCTCTGCCAGGTGCCTTTCCATGCTGTCAGTTCATGCTCCCCAAAGCCTTTTCCCAGCAGTGCATTTTACAGATAGGAAAACCAAGAGTCCAGGAAGTTCGGGAGAGTTCTCCAGTCTTGTGAGCTGATAGACCAAGTGTTCACACCCTTGCTCAGGCCTGCGGGGTGCAGGCTTCATGCTCCTCCTTTTTTCCTCCAGAGTAGCCTTGGTAAGTCTGTTAACAAAACGTAGCTCAGAAGAACACTTGCAGCAGGAGGAGGGAGCCTGGGACACATGTGACCAGGACTAGTGGGGAGGCCTGAAAGTCAGCCACAGAGCACAGCAGCAGGAACTGAGGACCTGGAAATCCTCCTGGGCCGTGGCTCCTCCCAAGGCTCCCAGGAGCCCTTGCAAACATCTGGGTCGTGTAGGGGCCCCTCAAGTCAGAGACCCAGGTTTCTCCCAGGACACCTGAACCAAGTTACATGTAAGTGGCTGACACCTCTCACAGTGTCACGTAGAAGTCAAAAACAGAAAGGAAACGTGATTCCTGGAGCTAAACCCTTGCATGCCAGAAGTCAGACCAGGCATCCTGAATATGTTTCCTTTTTTATTTTTTAAAATTATTTAATACATGTTTTTAGTTGTTGATGGACCTTTATGTTATTATTTTTGGGGATAAGGG